CCCCCATGATTCAATTACCTTCCACTGGGTGCTTCCCATGACGTGGGAATTATGGGAGCTATAATTCAAGATGAGATTTGGGTGGGGACACAGCCAAACCTTGTCACTATATATGTGTGTGTGTGTGTGTGTGTGTGTGTGTATACATATATAATTAAAATTTGTGTGTGTACTTATAATTTGTATTGTTTATAAATTACCCAGTCTAAGGTATTTTTTTTACATACATACACACACATTTCTTGCCCCGCCTACTGAGAGGGCTTAGAAATATCAACAACCTAGTAGTAATGAACACACCTAGCACCCAGATCATGGCTTCTAAACACTGTTATCCAATTTAAAAAAATGACAAAAGACAAAACAAAAAACTAGGGCTCTTGAGAAGTGACTGATTCCAGGGCTGGGGAAAGGAAAATACAAAATGAACTTGGAACATCTTATGGAACCAGAAAGTAAGGAAATGCTTTTAAAAAGAAAATGATGGTGGGGAGAAATGATTTTTCAAAGCAGTGTAAGAGCCAAGCTGAAGGCACTTCTGATTGCTCAGGCTGAAGCAATTCGAACAACAAAATAAATAATAGTGTTGGACCGTTAGAATAAAATATCCATGAGTTTATACTAATATAAATAATTAGATGGAGGAGTTACAATTTTTTCTTTCAGTGAAATAAATCCCAATTAATAAATGTGTTAAAGAAGGAGGGAAGTAGAAAATTGCCATTAGATGATTACCACAGTTGCAGATGGATTCCCTGAAGGCATGCAATGATTTTTCAAGTTAAGGGATTTGTATAATCTGAAATTATTTCCCTCATGATTTTTTTTTGAGGGGAAATTTGGTGGGCTTTTTTTGTTTTTGTTTTTTGTATATCTACAGTGTTGTGCAATTACTGCCACTGTGTAACACCAGACCACTAGTGGTCAATCCTCATTCCTTCCTTCCCGCAGCCTCTTACAGCCACTAAGCTACTGTTTCTATGGATTTGCCCATTCTGCACACTTCATGTAAAATGAATCATATGATATATGCTTTTTCCATGTCTGGTTTTTACTTGTTTCAAGTTTTCAAGGTTCATCAATGCTGTAGGATGTATCAGTATTTCTTGCTCCTTTTAATGGTAAATAGTATTATATGGATATACTACTTTTGTTTATTCGTTTATTAACTGATGGACATTTAGGTGTTCTCAGATACCCAATATGATACTATTAGAAGGTGGCGCCTTTAGGAGGTGTTGAGGCCCCATGAATAGGATTAGTGCCCTTATAAAAGAGACTTGAGGGTGCCCTCTGGCCCCTTCCACCATGTGAAAAACTTAGAAGACACCTTCTATGATGAATAGGCCCTCACCAGACACTGAAACTGCTGGTGTGATCTTGGACCCCCAGAACTGTGGGCAGCATATTTGTATTGTTTGTAAATTATCCAATCTTAGTTATTTTGTTACAGGACCCCTAACGGACTAGGACACACTCTAAACCTTTAAGCCATTATACCAGATGCTTTTGGTTCCCTGCCCACACCCCCTGGGATCTCCTTTTTCTGTAGGGGGTATGTCCTCCCCAGCTACTGTGGAGGCTCAAGACTCTTGTCACCTGCTCCTGGACCCCTCTGGGGAGCCAAAACTTCCTTGCCCAGAGCTGCTGCCTCCACTACTGTGATATAGCTGGCCTAGAGTTAGAACCTGAACAATGCCATTTTATAAAGAGACAAAACTGTTTCCATTCTCCTCACAAGGACTGCTAACCTTGGCTTCTGTAAACTGCTAATTTACTTTGCACAATGAAGAGAGGTAAAGCTGCATACCTGCTCTTATCTGTAACTGCCAGAATTGCTGGCATTTGTTTACCGGTACTGACCAGAGTAAGCACCCCCAGATAATTCCATCCTGGCGCCAAGCAACTAAAAACTCTGTGGAGCCCACACCTGCCCAAATAATGTATAAGCTAATGTTTATCTTGACTTCTGTAAATCTTAAGTGATTGCCACTTAAGTGGCAATTGGAATGACAAAAGTCCCCTGGCCCTTGGAATGTCCGGAGCCCCCTCAACCTCCTCTCTGCCCAGGAGGTGATTTACAGCCTTTCATCCCCATCTCCACTCTTCACCCCTACTCCCAAGGTGGTTTTCCAGGTATAAAAAGATCTTATCACCCTTCTTTCTCGGCCACAGGTTGGAGAGATGTGAGTCCTCCATGGTTGCTGGCAATAAACTCTGCAATTTGGCATACTTTTGTCTTGGTGTTGACTTTCTGTGCTCAGTCCGATACAACACTACTCTGGTAGCCTGTGGCCTCTGACTGCTTGGAGGGGGTAGGTGGAGGTAAAAAGTCCTCCTTGGGTTTTCATTTCCTGTCATCTGGAGAGCACCACTCAATAAACCATGTGCACATGAAGTCCTAACTTGTTTCTTCTCCATGGGTGTCTCATCCTTCTTGGACCAGAAGGCTAGCAGTGGCATGCTCTTCTCATGATGATAGCAGAATATTGAGACACCCATGCAAGCACATTTCAGACATCTGTTTGTGGCCCATTTGCCAGCTTCCCACTGACCAGAGCATGTGATAAGCAAAATCCAAAGTCAAGGTGTGGGAAGGTACACGCTGCAGTAGCAGGAACTGTAAAGTCATGTGGCAGAGAGTGTGACAAGCAGGAAGAAAATCGGTGACAGTGTTGCAATCTACCACAGATTACTCCCTAAACCAGAAAACCAGAGTTGTTATCTGGGTCCTAGCCTGTGACTGAAGTCAGTGACAGTCCCAGGGGGAGTAAAAATTCAAGCATGGGGCCGGGCGCAGTGGCTCACGCCTGTAATCCCAGCACCTGGGGAGGCTGAGGCGGGTGGATCACAAGGTCAAGAGATCGAGACCATCCTGGTCAACATGGTGAAACCCCGTCTCTACTAAAAGTACAAAAAATTAGCTGGGCATGGTGGCGCACGCCTGTAATCCCAGCTACTTGGGAGGCTGAGGCAGGAGAATTGCCTGAACCCAGGAGGTGGAGGTTGCGGTGAGCCAAGATTGCGCCATTACACTCCTGCTTGGGTAACAAGAGGGAAACTCCGTCTCAAAAAAAAAAAAAAAAAAAAAAAAATCAAGCATGAGGTGGCCTTACTCAATATGGACAGGGCTTCTGCTTAATATGGACAGGGCTTTCTCAGGCTAGGATACTCAGCCTTGGGATCAGCTCCAAAGGCGTCAGTGGTGGGAAAACAGACACAAGACTATGCAGGCCTGTTTGCCTTCCTGGATCCAAACATTATTTTCTGCCTGTTCCCTTACTCTCCATCCCCGTCTTGTTACTTGTATGTATCTAGTGGCTTCTGTTTGCTTTGATTTGCCCTTCCCCTGTGTTCTGGTACATTTTCTTCCTTCGCAGGGGCTCTCAAAGGATACAGGTCAGATTATGCTATGTGTCTAACTTGGACATTTCCCCAGTGGAGTAGAAGTATTTGAAATACTGCATTTCCTGTTGCTTTTGCCACTGCTGCTGCTGTTACATGTTTAGTATATTTTAAACGAGCACAACCTGTATTTTGAGTTAATGGTATTGTGGTTGCTCTTGCCCCCTGTTGTGGCTTATGTGAAGGGAGTAATTTTGGAATTTTCCCGAAATAAAATAAATTGATTCACATAAGATCCTAGTCTCTTCTTTGGCAAGCTTAGGACACTATAACCTATTATATCTGAAGCTTATAAACTCACATACTTTATTCTTTTCCATTTCTAACTTGGATCAAAAGTTTGAAAATGTAAAATACTATTGTAATTATTACTAGTATTAGTATCATTATTACTAAAAATAACTATTAACATGACTAATTACATGTGTTCATGCCGTAGAGAACTCAACAGTTCTCCATGGGGCTCCCAGAATTGTTGAATTCTTGCCTGTATCATTACCTTTCTTGAGTTTACCTGATTATTCGAGAGAACTTGTGCTGTGTGCTTCCTTGGGAGGAATTTTTTCTGAAAGTTCTTGATTTGGGTTCTTAAGCTTAACAACAGCAAGGCAATGCTGTCCTCTGGCAGGAAAAAGCAGAGTCAAAGTTCAGGTGCCAGAGCACCACCTTTGCTTCAAATCTCCAGTCTTCTGAAAAGTGTTTTCCCTGAAATTCTCCATCCCTGCAGCAGTTCCATGAATGAATGAATGGGTGTAGCATTCCATTTATAGTATGTGCTACTACACAGTTGCTGTTTAACTATACTTGAGTAGTGTTGTGCGGTGCTTAGGAATAGCCCATCCATTTACAACGTTTGTTTTTCCGGGCTATGGATCAGCTTCATAGATAGGTGGGTGTAGGTTTTCAGTTTCTCTTGGCTCCACTCCCTGCCTCCTTGGCTTGCTCTGTCCTCTTGCCTTCCAGTCTCTTCCTTCTTCCTTTTCATAACATTAAGTGCCACACATTTTATGTGCCAAGCTCTGGCCTAAGGGCTGGGAAATCAAAAAGGAGGAAATACAGTTCCTGTGCTTACAGAGGAGAGAGCCTCATAGAAGAAGCTTAATTAAATAGATGAAGGTAGTGAGGTGTAAGCTGGCTGGGATGGCACACTGTCAGGTCCTGTGGGACTGACTGTTAGGAGAGGGGCAGGAAGGGTGTCATGGAAGAGACAGTAATGTAGCATGTCCTGAGGAGTCAGTAGGTATCTGCCACTTTCCTGCTGCACGTAACACAAAGCTTTTATTAGCTAAAAAAAACAGAGTAGCTTAAATATGCAGGTTCTAATTGGGGGACATTGGTCTCTAGATTCAAGTGTGTATCCTCTTGCCCTTCTTACCTCATTTCCTTACAGATTTCCTTATAGATTAGCAAAGTGAGTATATGTGAGTGGTGTGTGTATTCCAGGGAGAGAGATGGCTAGACTAAAGAGATAACTGAACACAGCTGAGTTGTGTCTTCATGAACTACTAGTAAGTCTTGTTGGCTTGTTAGTTGGCCATCCCTGTGACCTTCCAAGGACCCTGTACCTCATGAGCCTTTCTCTTCTTGGCTTTTAGGGCAAGCTGTCCCTGCAGGATCCCATGTACGGCTGAATCTTCAGACTGGGGAAAGAGAGGCAAAACTCCAATATGAGGACAAGTTCCGAAATAATTTGAAAGGCAAAAGGTACAGTGTCAGCCCTAGGGACTGGAAGGCTAAGTGGTGACATTGATTTTGTAATACTGAAAATGTTATCCAAATCACGTGGCTTTTTTTTTTTTTAATTTGAAATTTAATAGCATAGAATTTGTGATAAATCTGTCAGGGTTTTATGAAAGTTTACTTCTACAGTCTTTGGAAAGAAACAGTTTGCAAAGCAAATTGATACTTTAAAAAGGGCTGTAGGGGAATGCTTAACCTGCTTTAAAAATGAAGCTATTTTTCCCAGTACTTTAAGAGCACCCATTTGAATCCCAACAATTAATGCGCTGATTACAGATGAGTCATCTATTCATTAAAACAGGCCTGTTAGGCCTTCTGCTTTGCAGTAATACTTCCTTGGTGAACAATAAAATTGCATTTTAAAGTCTTTAATTCAGACTAACTTTTCCTGTCATTAGTCAGTATTAAAACAAGCTTTCTTATAGTGTAAAAGTAGAAGCTACTGCCATTCTCCACTGGCTAGAGGTTGCCTTATTTCTTAATAACCAGGTTAGATTATTTAATTTGAGAGAATTCAGTGTCTGTTTTTCTTTTCGTTGCCTTGAATCAGCATGCTTTCTTTGCTTGGTATTCCGGAATGAGGGGGAAGGAGGTTGAGGCATGGAGTTGCAGCGGTTGCTGGAAGTGTGCAGTTTGAAAGCTCAGCAGAAATACCAGCCATGAAGTTTCTAACACAGGGCCCAGCAAATTATGGCCTGTGGGCCATATTGGGACTGTTCCCTGCTTTGGTTCAGCCTGCAAGTGAAATGGGTTTTTATATTTCTTAAAGGTTGGGGAAAAAAATCAAAAGATAATATTTCATGACTCATGAAAATTTATGAAATTCAGAGTTTAGTGTCCATAAAGTTTTAATGGGACATAGCCATGCTCATTTGTTTACATGTTGTCCATGGCTGCCTTCTTGCTACAATGACAGAGTTGATTAATTGGGATGAACCCCATATGGATCACAGAGCCTGAAAGAGTCCAGTCATGACAGACAGTTTGCTGACCCTGTGCTAAAACACGTAAGCATTGGAAATTATTAGTTATGGATTGAGTGTGGTTAGTGTTACACAGTCCTTGGGTGATTTTTTTTTTTTTTAAGAGAGAGGGTTTTGCTTTGTTGCCCAGGCTGGAATAAAGTGGTGTGACCGTAGTTCACTGTAACCCTCAAACTTCTGGGCTCAAGCAAATCTCATTGCCTCAGCCTCCTGAGTAGGGTGGGACTACACATGTGTGCTACTTTGCCTGGCTAATTTTTATTTTATTTTTGTAGAGACAGGGTCTCACTTTGTTACTCAAGCTGGTCTTAAACTCCTGGACTCAAGCAATCCTCCTGCCCTGGCCTCCCAAAGTGCTGGGATAAAAGATGTGGGCCACTGTGCCCAGCCTGGATTTATAATTTAAACAGTATTTTGCAAGTTGGGCATGGTGGCTCACGCCTGTAATCCCAACACTTTGGGAGGCCGAGGTGGGTGGATCACCTGAAGTCAGTAGTTCGAGACCAGCCTGGCCAACTTGGGGAAAGCCTGTCTACTAAAAATACAAAAATTAGCTGGGCATGGTGGTAGGTGCCTGTAATCCCAGCTACTCATAAGGCTGAGGCAGAAGAATCGCTTGAACCTAAGAGGAGAAAGTTGCGGGGAGCCAAGACTGTGCTGCAGCACTCCAGCCTGGGTGACAGAAAACAAACAAACAAACAAAAACTAAAACAAAAATCCAGTTAGATGTAAGTCAGAAGGAGGCTTTAGAGACCCACTTCTTACCTTAGTCTTTTGCTTGACATGCCTGTTAGAAGGTCACTAGGCTGATCCATGTATACTTTTGTCAGGTGGCACTCACCCCACAAAACAGCCTGTTCAGTTTTAGACAGTTTTCACTGTTGGAAAATTCTATACTTTATATTAAGATAGAGGCATTTGTTCTCCTTGCAGTCACCCCAAATTGGGAAAGATCTTTCATCTTCCCTTATCCCTCCAGATAGGCCTATACTTGGAGTGGCCAGGTCAGACAATTGCTCCTTTCTTACAACCATGTAAGAAGTAATCAACTGTCACTGTCATGGCCCCTGCCAGACTTCTTTCATCTGCAGCACACACACACACACACACACACACACACACACTTCAGTGTCTCAAAGTACTTTTAGGAAGTCTTTTCTCACATGTAATCCAAGTCTTATTTTCTGAAGAAAAAAACCTATTTTTTTCTTAGTTTATGAATGTTGAGTTAGGGGCTGGGCACAGTGGTTCACACCTGTAATTCCAGCAGTTTGGGATCGTTTTAGCATAGTTCGAGACCAGCCTGAGCAACAGGGTGAAACCCTGTCTCTACAAAACATACAAAAATTAGCTGGATGTGGTGGCACATGCCTGTAGTTCCAGCTACTCACAGGGCTGAGTTGGAAGGATCACTTGAGCCAGGGAGGCAGAGGTTACAGTTAGCCAAGGTTGTGCCACTGTACTCCTGCCTGGGTGGCAGAGCCAGACCCTATCGCTAAAAAAAACCCAAAAAACAGAACACCAAAATTAGCAGGATGTGTGGCGTGTATTATGCCTGTAGTCACAGCTACTCGGGAGGCTGAGGTGGGAGGATCACCTGAGCCTGGGGAGGTTGAGGCTACAGTAAGCCATGATTGTGCCACTGCACTCTAGCCTAGGCAACAGAGTGAGACCCTGTCTCAAAAAATAACCAAACAAGTAAAATAAATATATAAATAAAAAATAAAGAAAATCCCTTTACAAAAATAATACTGAGTTTATAATTTGATTAATTTTGAGTTTATTTGTTGGTTTTTATGCTATGAGAAGTTATTTCCTGATTGTAGATCATCAGTGTGAACACTTACTACCTTGTCTGTTACTTATATCTTTTAAGAATAGACAGCAGAGACATCCATGTGATCTGTAGAGACACACCATAAAAGAGAAATATTTGTCCCTGCTCCTGCCTTTTTACTTTCCTCCTTTGGAGGGTTTCTGATGGCTCTGACTGGAAGGCCCCCAGCATATGCAGGACATTTCTTCTTCCTTCTCAGCATTTATAGCTAATGGCAAACCTATCTGAATAGAAGTCCAAAGGTATTGACAAGATGGTGTGAACATTCAGTGCTGTGAGCTGAGTGAGCCTTTGGTGATCACTTCCTACTTCTGGGATGGAGCTCCTCCAATTCCATTTCATGGTATCTTCCTGGCCCCTTAGCACTGGAATGGGAACAGAGGCCTGAGGGCAGGGCCAGTTCGCTGAACTTGTTACAGTATTTGCTTACTCCCTTATTCTGTTTTAGAGGACACAATCCATAGCTTTCCATGAGATTGTCAAAGAAGTTAGTGATCCCACAGAGTTAAGAACCACTGGCCTAGAGTGAGATGGGGACAGTCCATTCATCCAAAATTTGTTGCAGTCTGTCTACTATTTTTACTGGTTGTGTGGCTGGCCACATAGCTACCTAGAGCAACAATGCTTGTGGGCTCTAAAGCTTGGGACAGAAGACCCTGACTCTGGCTTGTCTCAGAGGGTTCCTTTAGCACTGCCTTACTTCAATGCATAGTTGACTCTTAGCAACAGGATTCTACTTGCTATTTATGCTTTAGGCATTGCCATCTCTAGTGGTTTTAGTCCATATCCCTGTCATCTCCATGGTACATCTCTTTTTGCCCTGGAATAACCAGCATCTCTGACTCTTCCTCCTAGGTTTGGAGGACTGAGGGTAAAACAACATTCAAGTTGTGCCATATTGGTGAGCATTTACCAAGATCAAATATGGCATGGTGGTTAAGAGGTTGAGCCAAGGATAGGGCCATTCACTTCCTCCATTTATTTATTTCACAAAAACCAATTGAGTGCCCATGCACCAGGCATTGGGATATAGTAGTAAACAAAACAGTCTCCATAAAGCTGGCAAACAGAAAACCAGGTATATAAGCACAGAAGTAAGATATTATCTTTTCATTACTGATAGTTTGCTGACCCTGTACTAAAACATGTAAGTATTGGGAATTGATCATGGATTAATTAGCCCCCAAAGGGAGGAAGGAAACAAACCAATGTGACTGATCTTAGAAACCTGCCAAAGACTAGAATGGTATCCTCTCCAAGATCCCTGGAGCTGATCCAAGGCACAGACATGCATGAGAGGAGATACCTGCAGCGGCAGGGGAGACATGCATGAGAGGAGGTATCTGTGGCGGGGGGGCGGGGCAAGGTGTTTACCACTAGCACTCAGTTCAGGGAGAGGTAAGAACAAGGATGATATGGACACAAAGAATAATTGGGTTAGGTTTATAGGTTTAGGAATTAGGACATTGCAGACAGATGGAACAACAGGAAGTCCCAGGCTTTATCAAGGAAAAGGCTTTGTCAAGTATGAGAAGCAAGAAAACAATCAAGGTGACTAGAAGAGAAGAGAGAAGGAAGGAAACCTATAAGAGATGAGATTGGAGAGGTATGTGGGGGCCAGATCATGTCGGTTTTGAGGAACATGTTGTGTGTTCTTCATTGTAATGGAAAACCATGGAAGATTTTTTTTTCCCCAAGACAGAGTCTTGCTTTGTTGTGCAGGCTGGAGTGCAGTGGCACCATCTCAGCTCACTGCAATCTCTGCCTCCTGGGTTCAAGCAATTCTCCTGCCTCAGCCTCCCAAGTAGCTGGGATTACAGATGCATACTACCATGCCTGTAAAAAATACAATAATTTTTATATTTTTCAGTAGAGATGCAGTTTCACCATGTTGGCCAGGCTGGTCTTGAACTCCTGACCTCCTGATCCACCCACCTCGGCCTCCCAAAGTGCTGAGATTACAGGTGTGAGCCACCATGCCTAGCTGCCATTGGACGATTTTAGGCAGAAGGGTGATTTAGTTGCTGTGTGTCTGGAGGTGAGATTGAAGGCAGACAAAAGACAGAATCAGGATGTCATTTCGTTGGATCAGGTAGGACATAATGGTGGCTTACTTAGTCTAGGGTATCATAATAGAGAATGAA